GAACAGCAGACAGCTGTGATTTCTGAGAGGTATTTATTAATTCAACTCATGGTAATTTTTGGAAACTGTACTTAATATTTTTCTTTGATCCCATAACTTAATACAATTTAATATAAAACAGACATGTGTACAATGTTTATTCCATGTTTTAGGACCTTCAGTACAGTCTAGTAACTTACAGACGTGCTCCCTGTAAACTTCATAAGCTTTTCGCTAAAATGTTATTTTAATACATCAGGAAGCTGATCAGAGCATCTACAGTTGTTATTAAATAACATCTAAGCCAACTATCTTAGACTAGTCAGCACAGAAGTGTATGTTTTCAATTATTATAATATATATTATTATTTATAGTTCATTGTCTAATACCTTAAATACACATATATGAAAAATAGTATTTTCCCATTATTTCAGAAAGCTATGTTAAACAAATTATGGTAATCAAAGTTCATTATACTCTCAACACTTTGGAAATTAGACAACTTTCTCTTACCTGCTAATTAGTCTTGACTGGCTATCCATCAGGTTAGAACACCACTGGCTAACACTGCCTACAAGTTGAAGGGAGTAGGATTAGTAAATTTTTCTCCAGGCATGATCATTGGCTCTTTAAATTTCACTCTGTTACTTGTATATCAGGGCATATTTCTCCAGGATGTTGTGAAATGGTGAGTGAACACTGGAGGTACACTCAGGAGTAATATGATGGACAACCCTGAAAGAACAGAAGAAAAGTATCCTTACTAATGTTCATGGAAGAGGAGATAAATGTCAAGGAAGCTATTTTGATTGTAAGAAAGTGTCCCAGACTTTTAAAGAGCTTTAAGTTTGGATAGAATTGCCATTTGCGTACCAGGTATATGGCAGTCACAGGGAGGAGTCTGCATTTGATTGCTTTAAAAAAATCAGAGATGGGTGTATGGATTACCACATTATCCAGAAAGCAGTAGAGCACAGAGCTTCAACAGATGATGCATATACCCACATGGAACTGAAAGTTAGTCCAAAGTTGAACTGCTTAAGGAAATCAAGAAAGGGATTTATAGAAACTTTGAGAGGGTTGAGGTATACAGCTTTGCACCACAGGAAGAAGATGGATAGTCATATGATCAACATTTTCTTAGACATGAAAAGGGAGGGAACAGCCACTGGAGTCTTGGTTAAACTCTGTCAACTTTTTGGTTATGAAGATGTAATTGGCTGGGCTCAGATGCAATCACTGTCCCTTAACTAGGTATCTCTGGCTGTGGCATGGAGGTCTACATTGTAACAAGGCAGGAAGCCAAGGATGTGGAGGCCGAAAATTGGAGTTGATCTGTGAGACCTGCTGCTTCTATGTGAGGAATGTCCCCTCAGACATCGATCCTTTCAGCAACTCAGATGTGGGGATTTTGCATTTATTCTCAGACCTCCCAGGAATTCCTTAAATGGAAGGGCAGGACCAAGCTTCTACTCGGGTAGATTAGGTGCACAGAAGTGATTTTGTAGAAATAATATTGCAAGGTTCCATGCTGCTTGTAATCCTGTTATTTTCATATAAAATATTCAAAGTTTGTCATTAACAAAGCTCTTGTTCTAACTCCCAGTTTCCAAACTTATCTTGAGCTCCAAGAGCCAAGATGAGTTCTTTGCTTCTTGCGCATCGGTGACAGCTACTGTTTTGGCTGACACTCTAGGAACAGAGGTCCTCTAAAGCTAAAAGCAAGAGCTGATCCATTTTAAACATGGCTTTTTCTACCTGGGGCTGTATCAGCCTCATATTCTCTATGGGTCACAGAAGGGGACCTGTAACACACACACATTGATGGGTTACTTCATTACAACTAGTAAAACTTCTGGATGTCAAGCACCTTTCAGTTACACTTCTAACTCTTCAGTGGCTTGTGATAGGTTTACCTTAGTACAGTATAATTCTTTTATAATGCAGAGTGTGGAAAAGCATTCAGCTCGCTCTCCTGTAGCTGTGTGGATACTGTAGTGTTAACAGGAGTGTGGGTGGGTGCCTCCTCGGTGCCTGCTGTTCTTATCACTGTCTTCCTCATTTGCCCACCACCCTTTTTTAGGAGACCGATAACATGTGAAAGGAGATTGGCAGCTGCTAGGACAGTGGTAAGATATTGCCGCTCTGGTTTCTGCCGCAGGCTCCACCTTCCTTACACCCTGTCCTGTCCCAACCGGTGTCTAATTAGTGTGATGCTAGTCAATTGAGCCTCTCTTCTTCAGGAGTGAGGGTCGTTAGCCCTGCTTGCTCTTTCAACAGTCGCACCCTCCCTCCATTCCTTCAGAGGGGGTGATCTCTTTTCTCTCCCTGCCTTCTCCGGCCCCAGGGGAGGCTCTCCCATTTGTAAAAGTGTCCTTGTCTAGGACCTGCATCTCCCCTGTAACAGTCCTGCCAGGGAACTGGGTCCCAGTCAACTCTGAACCTCGGGGTGTCTGTAGTCATCTGGCCCCTTCCCTCTGATACCAGTCCCATTTTCCCAGTTCTCCCAGTTTTCACTAACAGTCTTTTTTACTATGCATCTGGGTCACTTGCTGATAGGCTTCTCTTGTCACTCCTCTCTGGGTTTGTCTTCCTGGATGACTCATCACAGTTATAAGTTCATCATGGTCCATCCAACCCTGCCTCACTCAGCCAGCGTTTCCTTAGTCTCTGTTAATCCTCTGTACCGGCTTTCAGCAGCTTCCTCCAGGTGCCTCTCTCTCTTTCCCCCTATGGTAAATGACTCACAGCCAGCTTTCTCTTCAACAGGTTCTTCTGGGATGGTGGTCAATCAGCGTTGGCTCCAGCAGAAGACCTCTGTGTTGCTGGGATTCCCCTCTCAGCATCTGACATCACTGGGAATCAACGAAGCATGGTGGGCTCACCTCCGGTAAGTATTCTTCCATTCTCTCCTAGCCCTTGGAACAGGGGCCACAGGCGGTCCCCTGTTACTGGGAGTAAGTACAAAACTCATGCACACCTATTTTTGTCACCAAATGAAGCAGATGTGAATACACATATAAAGAAGCAGCTCATTTGAGTAAGATACTGCCATTTTTACACAATTCTTTTCGACTGGATTTACAGATCCAGTTCTAGAATGCAATTCTAGTATTTAAGGATGAGACGAGAGATGGAATCCGTCCTATCAGATACTGTTAATCCAGCCCAGGGAACTGTCCAGTCTCAAAGATACAACAACATCTGTCCTGTTGCATTGGAAAATGTGGTTCTGTCAGAGATAGGATCGGTAGGGAGACTGAGCTGGAAGGATGAAAATTCCCAGCATCATTGGTTTGATAAATTACTGGCTCGTGCACAAGTAGCAGCAGGATAAATTCCAGTATGTCTGGGGCACAGGCTGCAGGCAGAGAGACTGGCTGATGGCAAGCTGCTGAAGCTCCTCCAGTCAAGCAGAGATCAAAGTAGCTTCTGTTACTATTATCTCGGGAAAGGGGTTTGATGGAGAAGAAACATCCTTTTTCCCTGCTGTAAAGTGAGGAAAGAAAGATCATTATTCCTGATAGGCAGGATCCTACAGATTTGAAAGAAGGAAAATCAGGAAAAAGAATAAAGAGAATAGGGGAAAAGGGGATAAAAACAAACCCCCATCAGTGTGTAAATTTGATACAGAGAGTCTGTTTGGTCCTGGATCCAGTGAGTGATGCCTGGAGAGAAACATACCACTATATATTCTTGCTCCAGACAGCAAGTGCAAAGAGCTAACTGGTAGTGATCTGGACCAGCAGCTCCTGGAAAATCTGTGTAACATCCTCCGAGTCCCAGGGGGGCAGAGCATTCTGAGAATGGGGGGACCGGCCCAACCCTGTTGTTGGGTCTGTAACAGCAGCATGGTCTGTGAAATAGCTATTGTTGGAAGTAAAATGTCATGGGGCTGCTTCTGCTGCTAGGGTATGGGCACTGTGGGGGTGGGGGCACAGTTCTGGCACCCCTAGCAAAATTGGCACCTGAGGCTGGTGGTCCCTGCCCCACTCCATGTTATTCTACTGTTTTGTGCCACCCCACAAAGGCAGTGCCCAGGGCCGCTGAGTTTCCTATGGTTGATCTTTGAATGTCCCCTTCCATGCCCTTTTGCATCCAGGAAATATCAAAGCTTACTTGATCCATGGTCCTCCCCCTTTCTAACTAAACTGGCAAGTGATAACTTCACCATCCAGCCCATAACTTTCTCAGTTCCAACTCACAATTCCTGATTTTCCTAATTTGAGCTCTCTGCTGTCATTCATTCCTCTAGGTTACCAACCTGTCTATTTTACTGAATGAATCATAAGCCCATCTGATCCCATGCTATAAGAGAAAACAGAGAGTTTGTTTTAATTCTGGTACCATTTGGGACTCCTGGGTAGATTATACCTAATAATTTATTGTGCCAATCAGATCAGGATGTTCAGGGCTGACCTGCAGACATACTAAAATTTTGTTTTGCCCATGATTCTTTAAAGTTTGAGAGTCTCAGGCTTGAAGTGTCAAAGATTACTTCAATCATATCAGTTCATTCTTTAAAAAAAGATCAAGAATAAGGCTGAACTTGGTGAAAGCCAAGTTTTCCATCTCTCTTGCAAATGTAATTTATATACTAGCATTACTTATCTAAATGTGTCCCATAATATCTTCTTTCACTTCTCTATACTACTCATTATACCAGCCATCATACCCTGTTGGTCTCTGCTTCTCCAACCTTTGCCACTGTGCCTTTTCCCATGTCTCTTGCTAAACACAGGCTTTCTTTTCAGGCCTGGTCCATAAGGCCATTACTTTTTCCTGATTCATATATCCTCTTCTACATCAAGGAGCAAATAAACATAGACAACTATTTTTGTACGTTACTTTAAAAAACCCAAACCCTATTTTACTATGCTATAAACATCATTACTTAGTTTTATTGCTTTGATCGCTTCTTTCCCCACCTCTTTCCTGTTGTCTTTATTCTATTGTTGTCTGAATCAGGTTGTAAGAACTTTGGGGCAAGGACCATCTTTTCTTATCTGTGAAGTGAAGCACCTACAACATTACTAGATAATAAACAATAATAAGATGATTGGAACTTCATAAATATTGAAGATAGTTAGACAGATATCACCAACATTTCTCAAATGGCCAGGTTAAAAAGGCAGCTTCTTAAAGCAGCACTCCCAGATAGTGATTGCCAGCCCATCAGCATGCAGAAATCCTGTCACACAATTTTAAGAGTCCAGCAGGGGAGTATTGTAGGATTACAATACTCATCTGTGAGTTACAAAAAAAGCCATGTTGGTTATTAAACATGGTCATAAATAATGCCAGCAATTAGCCATAGGTGTACCAAATCCAGTTCAGTTCCAGAATAAAACCCTTAACTAGAAAACACTGTATAGGATTAATCCATTAAAATAGTTTACTGATTCATCCAGAGTTTTCTAGGAGAGAATTATTATTTGCCAACAAAAAGTTTGGTGAACCTTTGGTATCTCCAAACATGGTAAGGTATTTCTCATGTTAAACCACATTTTCACCATCACCCTCTACTTAAAAGTTAATGCAACTCCTCATTTGACTATGCTGTAAGATCATTTTCAGAGACAATGACTTCACAATAAACAAGGATAACATTTTGGGATCTTTGTACTCTTTGTATCAACAGAAACAACATTTATTGGAAGGTTAGCTAGGTGTCTTAGCTTGGTCTTAGCCAGCCTAGTTTGTAAGCAATAGTACTGTTTGTCTAGTACCAGCTAGCAAATAAAATAGCTTCAAGTCAGTCTGTTAGGTTCAAAGCTTTGAAGTAGTTCTTGTAGCCACCTTAACAGAAAATTTGAAATGAAGATACCATGTAGAGTTTGTGGACTCACAAAAAGATGCTGGATTGACATCAGCAGAGACTAAAGCCTTTTATTCACAAAAATGGTACTATATGGGTTGCAATAACACTGCAAACCTCTCAGTACTGCCCTGCTAAAGTGCTTTCAAGCCAGTCCTTGCTGGACAGGCTGAGAGGGTAATGCTAATTGTCATCTTCTGAGGCTGCCAGCAAGGATGCAAACTAATATCAATTGTGATAGAACTTATGTGATGGAGGCACCTGTCATTTCACTAGGCTAGTTTATATCTTGCACGTAGCGATTGCTTATATCACTGTGACTAGTTTTGAAGATTTTAGCATTTTAATGTTTAAAGATCATTTCATGTTTAAAGATCATAAATGTATAAACTAATTTATTCAGGCTAGACATATACTATGACATTATAGTGTGCCATTAAAAAACTTAAAACAACCTGAATTTGTGAAATCAGATCACAAGTAATAAATAATGAAATCTTGTCACAATGCCAGGACTTCTGCAGCAAGGTGCCTTTGCTGACATGTCAGTCATGCTGACAGATTAAACAGCTGCTGATGCTCTTGGACACATTTGAAAATCATACTATTTAGAAACAATCGTGCTGACATGCCTTTTCTTTTTTTTCCACTACACTTTGGATGTACTCATGAAAGCAAATGTGATTTAAAAGTTTTACCAGCACGTGTTGCTTATTTCAGTTTCTTCAACTACGACCATATCTCCCCTGCTCTAACTTCTGCACCAGTCAATTTCAATGATGCAGATAGACTGTAGTGTCTATAAAGTGAAGAATTAATGACAAGTGGCAATAAGCCCTTATGAAATAACAATTTTGTTTCCATGGACATGTAATGCAAACCCAAAAGAAGATGTGTTGAAAAACACAAAGTGTGTAGGGCCAGATCATCAGGTGGTGTAAATCAATGAAACATCAGTTTACACCTCCTGAAGACCTGACCCAAGATACACGTAGAACCAATTGTAAACAGTGTTTTTAAAGTGATACAAAGCAATATTTTATAGCATTTTTAAGAGTAATTACCAAAAAGAATAGTCCTATAGCAGCTTTCTAAGGGCCTGAGTCTCATTTTGAGAGAGCCACAGGCTGCAGCTGAATATTCTGGCAGGGTCCCTGGGTTCAATTAAGGCAGCAGAATGTACCCAGCAATCTACTCCTAGCATTATGCAAATGTTTATAGGATTGGGTCTGGAGGATATAGCTGTGGGATGGCTTGCAGAATTTCTAAACATAAAATCAGTCATAAATAGGGACCTACTCAAATCGCATTTTTTTTTCATGGAAACTTGCAATTTGAGGTGGTTTCCATGAAAAATAGCATTCCTTGTGACTTTTGGCAGACTTGCTGGGCAGCAGGAGGGGGGCTTACTAAAAATAAAATGCTGGCTCCCCAGTTATCATGGCTCCCCAGGAAAGAGAGAGGGAGCTGAGATGTTGGTTGCCCTCTCCTCCTTCCACTGCTGATTGGCCAAAAGGGCTGCCTATCATGAGGCCCCACCCCTCTGCACCAATCAGCAACAAGGGGCAAAACTGCATGAATGGCAATCCTTTTGGGCAGTCAGCAGCGATGGATGGGGCTGCCTGAAGAACAACCCTCAGCCAATCAGTAATGAGGGCCAGGGCTACCGCCAGGGCCCCTTAGCCAATCAACACTGTGTATGTGTGTGTGCAGGGGAGAGAGGGGAGCTCACTGCAAAATAACACAGAAATGGCAGCAAGTAAGTGATTGGCCTGCAAAATCACTCACCTGCTTCCTCGATTTTGGTAGGTCCCTAATCATAAAACCCTACTGAAATCAGTGGAAGACAGGATTCGCCTCACAGTTGTAGATGTCTATTTGTATTAAGTTCTTTTTAAAGGTACTCTCTTTTTTTGCCAGTATATCTCGTGTTAAACATCTGCTCCAACTGTTATAAGACACAATTTGGAGTGCCTTTGTCCCCTTGGTTTGCATGCCACACTTTTTGGTTATGTGTGTATATGTGGTACAACTTTTCTCCCTTTCATTTTTTTCCAAGAGATAGTGATGAAGCCAAAATGTTTTGGTGATTCTCTATTGTTTGAAGAGTCATGGATCCTACCAGATAATGTTCTTTTCACTGTATAGATCTGATTGTGCTAAAAATTCAAAATTTCAGTCATCAAAAAATAAAACACTGTTAGTGCTCAGTAAGATTTCCTTAAAGTGGGACCTTGCCTTAATAAACATGTTCTATTCATTCAGGGTGTCTTTTTCATTACACAAGACATATAACAAGATTCCTTATAAATTTTCTGCCAAGGTACACAATTTTTTTTCTAGAAAATGAAAAAAAAAGCATTTATTGTAGCACACTGACGTTCTGTTCAAAGATCTGAATCTTACTAATGTGAAATATTGTTCCATGGCAAGTGATGGAGCTTAGAAAGGCTGTAGATCTCATGTGCCTTGACTAACTGCAAGTAACAGGAAGGTACCCTGTGGCAGTGTAAATTTTTGGATAGTGGTATGCACCTAGGGCTGTAAGAGATGCAGAATGTCTTTGCCACAACTGCAGTTTAGTTTCTGATAAATATTTTCAAAATTCACTGATCGGGCTGCATTCAGACACTGAATGATATGACCCCACCAACGTTTTGTATTATGTAAATTGCTTAGCCTGGCTGGGTACGTCTCCCATAGCTCTTATATCTAAGATATAGAGTACTGCTTCCAGTACTTTGACGGTCTTGGGCAAGTCCAAATAGGCATCTTGGAGATTTCATTTTCACTTCTACATTCTAGGCATCTATTTTTCTTCAGTTTTCAAACCTTTTTTTTTGTAATGCTTGAGCTGCAAATAAATTGTGCCAGGAGTCTTGCAGCTGAGAGGATGCACAGTCTGTAATGCCCAGTCTATGTACTAGTAGCTAATAAAAATCTCAAACTCTTTCTGGCGACAACTTCATCAACTTCTGCTGGACTGAGGTATGAGACAGCCTGAGGTTAAATCAATTTTCTTCCATTGTGCAGTGCAGTGCAGTGTCTTCAAGTTTTAAATCTAAACAATGCCGTAATGTGAAGAGTCTAGCCTACAGGCAGATTGCTCCTTGAACATTTGATACGTATCTTTACTCAGTTGAAGCAAGGGTTCAACATACAGATGAATTGCACACAACTAATTTTCCAGAACATGCATCCTAAATGCTCTAAGATCTCTCATGCTCCTCCTAAAAAGTCCCTACAACCTACAATTTGGAAGTTGTTGCCATAAAACTTCACACAAGCATGGATATCATACTCATCCTCCAGCTGCAACCACTGCTCTTCATGCACACAGCTGAAAATCAATCTAGACTCTCAGGAAGGGTAGTTTAAACATGAACAGTTTGGTTAGCCAACCACATTACTAACAATCAGAATTTACAGATCAAGTTTATACATGATATTTTTGAAAGTGAAAAGTGTTATTATGGCCATCTCTTGTAAGATGTAATGTCTGCATTCACAGTGCATTCATCTGTCAGTTCAGGATTCAAGTAAGACCAGGCCACTTAAATGTGCTATTAGTTTTAGCAGTCCCTAAATCCTTTCACTGTGTGTTACACATTAGTACACATCACTTTCTACTGAGGAAGAAAAACAGGTCTCTCCAAGCTGTATTAACCCACCCAATTCTCCTCCTCCCCACCGTATTAAAGATATAAAAGATTTGAAGGACACTATTTTCCATAATGGATACCAACATAAGGAAATTAAAGCTACCTTAGATAGAATACTTTTTTTTGAGCTTTTGCTTTTTTCACTTTGTTTGCCCCACAACCCAGCAATATACAAAGCTGTTAGCTCAAAACAGTGGCACATTTGTGCAATTTCCACTATGGATGTCATCAAGTTATTTGCAAAACATCTAACTAGTTTTGCAGAAACTCTTCCCCTTACCTCCATCTCCTAGAAATCTCTGATTATCCCTGCAGATCCTATAAAATGTGCTGCAGGGAGCCAACAATTTTTGTAGCTGATGGCAGTGTACCAATGCTATATGCCTATCCTGACATATAGTAAACAATTAGTTTGCTATTCTCAATACTTCTGTGAATATCTTAATTTTATTTAAATGGACCTTTATTAAAGATACCGGAAAAGTATGCTTTCTACAAACCTTGCATTGTGCTGCTATTATTGGTGATATATTCACTGCTGCATGATTAGTAAGGATTTGGTAGATTTGACCTTTTGATTCTTAACTTACTCATGTTTGAGTCACAGCAGATGAATGTTAGGTAGATCCCATTATGTATGGAAATTTGATTTAGTTGCTTGATCAGGTTTTTTTTTTCCAAATGCAGGAGTGAAATGGGATGTAGACATCTTACAGTCTATTTCATGCTTCATTATAACGTAATTCTAACCCCTAAGATTTCTACCATTTTCATTTCGGTAATGAAAGGAATGTAATGGGGTGTAGTTTAAAATGAGCTGCAGCAATTCTAAGGGTTAAACCTGCGTAACCCAACCTTTATTCAGAGAGTGACAGGAGTGCTGGGACACTGTTAACATTCCACCAGCTTGGTTAGTTCTAAACCTGTGATTTCTGCAGGTTCCCGTAGCAGTCATGCACACTATATACCCACCCCAAATAATAGCATCCATTCATAGCTACTCATTACAGCAGGGTTTGACCTGAGAAACTCTAGATTTTTGTTTCACTTTATTTACTTAGAAGGTTTTGAAACATTTATTTAAATAAAGTTTTCCCTTGACCAGCAAGGGAATTGTCAGCCTGAAGTTCTCAGCAGCATCTGGTGAGGCTCTCAGCCAAGTTCTTCAGATACTGTACATCCATAATGACAGCCCATTGGCCTTTGCCGTGGCATTTTCTTAATCCTCAGAACAGACTTCCTGGATCTAGGAAATTTAATTCCTGACTCCTTCGACCCAGATGCTGGCCAAAATGTAGTTTGCAATCTGAATGTAATCGTCTGTTTTTTTTTTTCCCTAGGAACTGCCCTTGCTGTTAAATTTTTCTAAAACAGTCATATTAATATGTTCAAAAATCCACTGCTGAGTTTCAGATAAAGGATCACATCTGTTCATGAAAATCTTCTTCTCAGCTGGGTTGCAATCTATACAGCCGTTGCTTACTGGATGGAACAAAGTTTTGTCCTATGGGAATGAGGAAGAAAACAAAACAAAACAAAACAGAATTTAGTAGTAATGATTAAAATGCTGTCATTTTCTAGAACTTAGATTGACATAACCCTGGCTAAAGTGATGTTGTGTTCTATAGTAATTCTCTATGCAGTAACCTGGAGTAATAAACTGAGTATTGTTGGGGATGTATAGATGGCCGAGTGGGTTCTTTGCACATTTTACTTCAGAAAACTGGGCACCTGAAAGAAACTGGAGCTGGCCTGTGGTCTTTCGACCCACAACCATACAGTGCAAAACAAAGGTAAAAATGGCTTTTTAAAAATGTACATACCAAGTTCCTTATACATTCCTCATACATTCATTTCAAAATGTGTGGCCTGAAAAGCTGCCTGATTTCTCCACTGTAGGGCTAGAGGCTCTGGAGCAGTGCATTTTAAAGAGGGGTGCAGGGCCTTCCTGATGGAGAGGGGATGGAAGAAATAATCACATTTAACACAGAGTTCTGGTGCATGGTCTAGATACAGGACTGGGGACTTTTTCTAAACACAACCACCAGAAATTCCATCTGGGACTTTTAAGTCACTTAACGCTCTGACGCACTTTCCCCATCCGTATAAACCTGCTAATGGAGGCTAATATTGGCTAACCTGCCCAATGGAGATTTTGTGAGGATTAGAATGTAAGTTGATTATGAAAAAAGTATCAGTATTAACTGGGAATTACAGTTAGCTGAGTTTGGTCAAAACAAGATGCCATGGTAAATAGCAAAAGATTGGTCTTTGACAGTTTGGCTTGTACTGATGAATTCCAGCTATGTTGCCTCCAAGAATATATTGAAGTCCATCTTAACTGAGGGCTTGAATAGTTCTAATGTATTTGTTATGTTCATGTGTCTGGTGTGGGATTGATTAGATAGTTGGAAAGTTTCTGATGATTGTACAATAATACACTTTTTGCATTTGTTGAAATAATGCTTCTAACTGCCCCAGATAAATACATTCAGGTTTCTCCCTCTCTGTGCCAGGCATACTTCTGCCAACAATCGGTACTAATCCAGGATGTGAACATTTGTACGGTCACAAAGAAGAGAAGAAAGAGTAACAGGAAGAAAATCATACCGTTAATAAATAAGTATGGTTAATAAAGCACCCTGCAACAGTGCTTGGAGAGCAGAACAACAAACATAAAACAGTTTTTTCATTCGCTTAAAAAACTCTACTTTCAAAAGAAATTACAACAAGTTGGATTTTAGCGGGAGCTAGGCAGGCCTTAATTTGATATGGCCTTTATACTTTCAGTACATACAACGAACAAAACCACATTTAAGAGCATAACACCCAATTCAGGCCCTAGGAGATGTGGTGTATATCTGCACGACTTGCACGTATCTTCTCCTACATAGATAGCAGGAGAACACAATCTTTTTCTAAATAATATGCTCTGAAGTAACAAAAAGTTCTCAAGAGGCAGCAGCAGGGCTGACAACAAAACCAGACCTGCTGACTATTTCTGAATCACCAGTAGGCAAATTCCCACCTGGCTTCCCCACCTCAGCCTGTGCATCCTTGTAAGCAGATGGGATATTTCAGTTTTCAAGAATCCTGAACTCTAGATAGGGCTGGATAGTATTATCCAATTATTATAGGGGATGTGAGTTAGCACAAGCCCCTTGGCTGTGGTTCATAATTCTTTTTTTTGTGGGTGGTTAAGGGTAGTGGTAACCAGTGCAAAAAAGGAGTAGAGGGGATGCTCTTCACTGTCCCTGCCATGACAGGTTGACCAGCACCGTGTGTCCTTGCACTCAGGAGAGCACAATGACTGTAACTGTGGCTGGCCCCTGTTCTGGGATTTTGGGAAATGACAATTTCTTATGTTCTTCCTCATCTTATAGACTTGCATGAAGACTAGGCACAACCTGGCCCCTACTGCTTTGGGACATCGGGATCCTTTGAAACTGGACTATCCTGGCTGCAAACAAGGAGAAAACAACCTGCTTCAATGGGAAATTATGTGTAGTACAAGTGTTCTAGCCTTCCCCAGGAAAGCCAGTACACTGCTGGGTTAGTCTGTGTAGAGTTTTCTATAGGTATAATTTTTGGATTAAGCACTGCTCCTACTCCCTTTCTGAAAGGTTTTTAAAATTAGGAGGCAGATCATGTCCCTTTAAGAACAGCTGTTTACCACTGGAAAGCTTCTTTTTGACTTAACTGTGTACTAGTGTTATCCATTTGTCATCTGTACCTTTCTTTGACCTAAGGTCAGAGCTTGCTGCTGTCATTGAGTTGAATGGACACAGACTCAGAACTGTAAGGGGGAACAGTAGTACGTGCCCCAAAACATAATTTTCCATTTGCAGTAAGAGAGGCATAGGTACAAATCCCTCCTTCATAGTAATAATAAAGAGTGACAACAACCCTCTTTTAGAATTCAGTCCTATTTGAGAAGAATAAGTTGATTTTTAAACTTCATGTGAGCAAGTCCAATTATTACTTTATAAAGTAATATCTTTTTCATGAGATAATGGACATAGAGCAGGCCTGGACAGCTTAAGGAATTGGTTACGAAGCAAGAAGCCTTTCACTTTCTTCTAGGTCACTACTTAACTGTGGCCAAGGTCGGTAGTGACTGAAAGTCATTATCATCTGATGGCTGCAGTAGTTTATCTGAAATGAGTTGGTAGCCTCAGCACAGTTTCTGCTGGACAGGTGTGTACATGATAAAAACCATCATCCAAATGACACCCACTTTGGCAGTCTCAGCAAAAGAAACTACAGACTTAATGGGCACCAGGGAGAAAATTTCCTCTCACAATTTGTCCCTGAAGTGCTATCAGGGGCAATCTGAGCAAACTGTACTGCTTTTGTACCTGTTCTGTGCAGAGAGAACATCAGTCTCTGACATAAATCTAGCAGCTTTCATAATCACTATGCTCAGAATAGAATTATAGCATAATGAATTTGATCTTTCACAACTTTTTTTTTTTTTTTTTTTTTTAGAGAGATGTACTAAATCAGTCCCCACTTTGGTACTTGTAGAAGTGCTACAAATGGTAGTGAAGGGCTACAGCACATAAATTGAATCATGCTGTATCAGGATTATTCTATTACTCATCCATCTGGAGTGATGCTAAAATAAAAATCGAGGGCAGGTCTCTTCCCTGGGAGAAATGGAAAATGTCAGGGTCTTTGCAGTTTCAAATCTGGAGCATTTACAAGTTAACTTTTCATGCTTATGGAATGTTTTTATCTTGAGAAGCTATCAAAACTTGAAGTTTCCTGTAATTTTAGATTATCTGTATGTTTACTTCTCTAAGAGCCCCTGATATATCTACCTACCTATCTCATCGCTTATATTGCTTCCATCACTGATATCTGATTTCCAATAGAGATTCCTCCTTTCAGTCACAACATTATGTAAGTTGTTACTTGGACTAGTCCTACTTGGTAACTCCAGTGTTTTGAGAGAGATGGGTATGCTGTGTTCTTTGATTAAGAAAAAAATGTTTTGGATTGTGTCAAAAATATGCAAATGCTTTCATGGTAAATGATTGTTTAATAATATAATTTAATTTATAATAAAATAATAATTTACCAAGTCAGGCAATAGACTTACTGTTCAACTGTAGCATACCAGGCAATAGTGTTGATAGTGTAGGAATCAGTAGTTATTTGACATATTCTTTGCCCGTGTCCAAATATTAGACATTTTGGGTAGAATTTTATATTCCTATCTGATTCAGAAATTATTTTATGGCATAAAGTAATGATAACACATGAATAATCCTACAAATTATTTCAAAAGTGGCCCGCAAAGGCAACTGATCCTTAGAGCATGGAAAACTTCCTAGGTCCTAGTTTTCCAGGACCGGTTATGTCAGGATGGTAAAAACTGGCTGAGATTAGGGTTTTATAAAATTAAGAACAAAAACTGAAATTGTACTTTATAGGACACAGAAATAATTACAAGCAAGGGGGGGCACAATCAGCAGGAAGCTGCTGTGTATGTACGTAGGAGTGGAATGGAGTAGCATGGTCTGTTTTTTCAAAAGGGGCTGTTGTTTAACTGTACATGCTTATTATTTCTATGCTCTTTGAAAAAGTAGTTTAAAATTAAAAAAAATACTTTAAAAGTACCATGGCAAGGTCTGTGCTAGGAACATTTGCCAGCATAGCAGTAGCGATTAGAGAGGTGATTTTTTGTGACATATCTAGGTTGGCAAAAACCCTAATTTAGATACAGATACATTGACATAAAAGCACTTTCACTGGAATGGCTTATTACCCTTGGAGAACCAGTACTTTTTTTTGTTAAAGTCAGAGATATCCACACTAAAAGGATTTTGCTAGTAAAACTTTACTGGCAAATTTTCTCATGTAGATTGGGCTGAAGAAAAAGAACCGAAGTGAAAGGCAATTAAAACATATTTAATATATATTCAAGCAAAGTTTTAAAAATTATCTCAGCGAAAAAGGATTATATTTATCCATTCATTTTCTATGCTGATGTGGCTCCTCAGCTTTATGGTTTAGGGCTAAACAATACACAATACTTGTGTATTTTACTCCTTTTAATAACCAAGGTTTGTTTTTGTATTAGTTAATTTTGAATAGTTCAGCATTTTCACTATTGAGGAATTTTTAATTCAGCTATAAATTCACCTTGTACTTAGACTTTTTATATATTATTTGAATCCTCTAGATAAGAGAAACAAAGCTAGACATGGGACTTAACTAAATATTTTTTTTACAATACTGTTATTTCTTTGGCCATCTACTGGGTCTTACCTACAAAGGTGATGAACCATATATAGAAGACAGCACTGGAGCTGTATTTTGTCACATGTACTTGGTTCATTAAGCACCAATGAAGTGTTAAAGTTGTCAAAGCTGCTTTCTAGCAGCATGGATAAGTATTAAGATAAATTGGATGGGTTCTGAAAGTATTATTATGGACGTAACTCAGCAACAGAACAATGCTAATTTGCACAGTCAAAGAGTTGGTCCATACCTTCTTTAGCTGCATTACCAATGCCACCTTAGCTGTGAAGAGATCACATTTCCAGATCTGATTGCAATGTAAATATTGGCTCAAATGGCAAAAGTCAATAATTAGACACCTTAGGAAAATAGCAGATGTAGCTAACCTGTTTCTAAGAGTTATAGTTCAGCTCACTACAGTGTCTCATTTCATACTAGAAATTCCAGCAGATTTGTCCAATCTTGGTCATTACACTCATCTCCAGTAAATGTGGGAATATGGGGATGATGGTTATGTGAAGATAAAGAGGGGATGAGAAGAATAGTGCAATGGTCTATCACAGCACGGATTACAAGTGAGAGCAGCAATGAATGGGTTAAACCTGTTAGTGTTAACAATGAGGCGGCAGGATAGAGTTTCACCTTACAAACTAACTAAATTAGATATATATAAGAAGCTTTCATTAACAATGTCATTTGAAATCCTGGTAGTGTTCCTATAGGCTTGTTTGCCCTGAACTAAGGCCTGACACAGTTTCTAGCATAAGCTTCTCCTTTTTTTGAGATATATAAAAATAGGCTAAAATTTAGCAGTTCAGAATGACACCTAAATCTCATTTAAATCCCTACTTTTTGGAGGCTTACAGTGGTGTTTTTAATGTGAATTGTTTTGTTTTTATTTTGTTTTGGAGGTTTGGGGGTGGGGAGTTGGGTTTTTTTTTTAGATTGAGCTGTTAATTGTAATCTTTTAAGTATGGCAAAATGATAACATTTAATTCATGAACAGCACTTCTTACTGCTGTCACAGTGAATAAAAATATTCTCAGTGGCATTATTGTTAAAATGACATGCATATCTGGAAGTGCCAAAATAGTAAGGCTTTTTCAGGGAATGTGCGGCTCACTCTGTGTTGGATCAAATCCATATTAATTTAAACTTGACCTAAAAAAACTGCAAACTTACACAGTGTGCATTGAAAAGAAACACAGTCTACAGAGAATCCATTTAAAGCAGAATTGGAATAAATCATGATGGATTTTAAATTATTTTAGGAGAACAGATATAACCGTCTCTAAATACAGTACAGACTTGAACCTCTTAAAATGACCCAAGGTGACGCCAACCTTCCGATAGCTCCAGTGCTGGTTGCCCTTCATCCCATGACAGTCATACAGTGTGACGGGGCTACTGTGTGAAATGGTATCGAAGCAGAACTTCCTAGTGTGAAGAGGTTCCCCAGGGCGGATGTCTTCTCTCCAACCAAAGGTAAAGAGCTAGGAAAACAACCAGGCAAGATAATAATATATGGCTGTTTCAAGACATTTAAAAACACAAAACTCAACCAGTGCACATGTTCATACTTTGCACATCATATTTTACATTTAATTAGGTAATTCATCTACGTGTTCTGGCAATGCAAAGTTACATTTGTTAAATGAGCCCATTAACAGGAGCAAACATCAGCAAAGAACAAATGCTGGTTCATGGCAGAAAAGGAGAAGTTTAGAATAGATGAACCAGGTCTTAGTTATTTTCCTAATTCTATAAACAGAGAGGGATGGATCTTGAGTTACTACCACAAATGAAATGAATAAGCCTCAAGAATCCTGTTTCTGGGCAGTATTCCATGGAATTGTAGACAATACAGCCCTATAAAACACTTGGGGTTCAGATGATATTCCTAACTGAGCCTTAAACATGAACCATTTCTCTTGCCATTTTTTTAGAAATCTCTAGGACCAAGGACACAATCAGTTACCTGGACAGATCTTTCCTCTAGGGCTAGGCATTTAATATAGTTTCCTTTATTTATAAGAAAGAACAGTCACGGACAAACATACTATTTGAAGTACTCCAAGTGCCTTTGAAGTGCTACAAGCTGTGAAGTTGCAGATGCTTAAGGCTGAAGAAGTCCTTAAAAAATGACCCTCAAAAAAGGCAAGCATCTTTGCAGTGCAAAAATACTTTCTGAAACATATTGTGCATGCTCCGGTAGAATGTGACAGAATTGATCGGTCCTCCGGCAACTCACAGCGCTCTGCTTTTCTCCCCCTTGAGGGTGGGGGAGAGCAGGGCAGACAGGCAAGGGAAGTAAACACTTTCTTGTTTCTTGGCTGTCCTCCAGAGGCTGAGGAATGCAGGGATTTCTATTCTCCATGCCCTTGGCTGGAGAGCTCCACCACTGCGTGCCTTTTCAGCCATTCTGAAGTGCTCTGGGGGTGGGGATCATACACAGTGCTCATGTGCACTGAATTTGATACCCTCCAAATTGGAGTGGCCTCCAAACACTTCACATTTGGAACACTTCAAATGCATGTCTGTCTATGCTGAGTGTTAGCATGTCCTTTCTTTGCCCTGCTTTTTTCCTCAGAACAGAAATTGTTTCCTCGTTTCTCCTGCTGTGCATCTTGTCATTTACCTACAAGACATTAGAACTCCTTTTATGCAAGTGTGAGGGAGATGCTGGAGTCAGAATAAGCACCTTCCTCCATCAGAGACCAGTTAGTTGAAATAAATGCCATGAAAAACAGTCTTGCAGTTACATAGGAGACAGACCTGATGGCACCAAATCTAAATTTGCAACATGCCTTTTCTTTTCAGGTAGCCAATAGCTTTTCACTGAATATTAGTATTAGCTCCTCAGCACTGTGCTATCCCTGCTGAAAGCTATTTTTTGTGCTAACAGCTCTGTCCTTTGGCCCACTGAGTAGCTGCTGATTACCTGAACTCAAGCTTGCAGTGTGTAGAGGTACCTAAGCCAGCAGGGGTACTAGAAGCAATTTAACTGCAGCAGTACGGGGCTCCAAATGGTATAATTTACACTGCACAGAAGCTGCATACTGCTATAACTGCATTGCTTTTGGTACCTGAGCTAACTTGGTTAAACATCTGTTTCTGCAGTATAGATATACCCTGATCTATCACACCTTCAAAAATCCATACTAAGATCCTTCAAGTCAATGAAATCAAACTCTGATCCTGAGTATCTCTAATATCAGTCTCACATTTTAGCCCTTTACTGCAATATTCATCCTCAGCTTCTTTTAAGAAAATTACGCTCTTTTTAAAATTAAGCATCTCAAAATGCTCCACTGTACTTCAAATGTGGTTGTATGGATATGACACAGAGGCATTATTACCTTGCCTGCAGGCAAGTCCACAGTGTGTACAGCTCATATCAGAATAATATTTGCTTTTTGCTGCAGCACCTCATTGTGAGCTCAGGTCCTTTTTGTTAGCTGCTGTCGCTTCCTATTTGTTTCTGCATTACAGGTTCTCTACCCAGGGTTTTTCTAACCTGATTCTGTGCTATGCTTACTTCCTCTTTTCCCCAGAGTATTATGTTACCTTTATCTATAGGAAACCACACTGGACAGCTTTAACTTTATTTTTAACCCAATCCTCATTTTGCAAAAGGTTAAATCCTTCTCTGAAGAAGTCTCACATACTCTACAGTGACATCTTATTATGTCATTATCAGGACGAGAAGCCAGACTCAGCATAGCAGAATGAAGCAAGGCTGCTGTGTTATAAAACCCAGAAACCTGAGAGGGTAGAAAACAAAATCACTGCTAGTCTACAGAACAAGTCAGAAACCTGAGGCTCCAAAGAATGACTGACAGTCAACAGGAGAAACCTGGGAATACCAGCTTCTTACCAGTATGGAACAACCATTCTACAGTTTTCTAACTCTTCTGATTGATTTGAAAACAGTAAATCCTCTCCTGACTCATGAGTCATTTTCTAATCTTCACTGCTTGATTTTCAAAGGCTTGGGACAGGAGTTACAAATAAACAAGTTTAAGTGATCAGAAACTGGTTTAAACTTGTGACACAGCAGAAGTCCAGTGTGCATAAACCGGTTTCAGAATGCCAGAAACTTGTTTAAGATAAACCTGCTTGATGTAGTATCAGACTTAACTGATTTAGGTCAAACCCATTTATGGAACTTCTGTGCCAGACTCCTTCCTGGTTCAAGTTCAATCAGAGGCCACCAGCATCTCAGCATGCTTTGCAGCCCTGGGCTATGCTGTCTGCTCGAACAAAACAGGACTGGCCCCGTCTCCCTGCTCTCTAGCTGGAGCAGTGAGGGCTGGCTGACAGGGGATAGGGGTGGGAAACCCAGCTGGCACAGCCCAGTCTGCCTGGTGGGGGCAGAACAGCCTCTGCTAGACTTTTCTCTGCTGGACTGGAGGGGGTGGGCCAACAGGCTCAGGGGGACTAAACTCCCCTGTCTGCCCTTTCCCCATGGGCATGGGGACCCCAGCCGGGGTCTGCCTGTCTTTCCCCCCTACTGGCTGCCTGCATGGCAGGGGGTGTGGTCAGCCTGTGCAGCCTGTGCAAGAGAGGGGAGAAGGGGAATTTAATCCCCCTCCCTACCTCCCTACACCCACTTCGCCTGAGGCACTGCCCTGGCTGGCATCTGGCTATGCCCCACCCTCAAGGACAACCCTGGCAAGGACTCTTTTCCCCTTCCCCCTCCAGGCACACCCCAACTGGGGTCCCTGCAGGCCAGGGTAGGGTTTTAAATCCCTCCCCAGTCATACTCAAGTCTGCCATGTGCCCCCCCCACCCCCCAGAGTTCGCTTCTCTTCAGCCTTGTGGCTACTGCTGAATGGAGGGGAGGGCTCACTGTAATGCCTCCCGGCCCCTGGCTTCTAGCCTGAGCCACTGCAGACATGTGGCTGCATTTCCAGAATCAAAAGTGAATGTCTATTCACTTGCAAATTGGTTCAGTCTATGCAGATTAGATTAACCTGCAAAGATTGAATCATTCAGGCTCAGGCTTTTTACATGTATGTACTAAGCCAAAATGTATTTCTGTGCAGCAGCAGTAACAGGCCTCAGACCACTGCTGCCTGTGAACTTCAGCCTGGGATCTGAGAACTGCTGCTACACAGAATGATGTGCATGTAAAAGATCACAACCTGACCCTCACATCTAAAGATTATGATAACCAGCCTGTGTCCAGACTCCCTTTTCAATTCCTTCCTGGTTTCTGTAGATGACTGTTTTGGAACTGCTAGAAGGAGTGATTAATGTTGTAGGCCATCCTGTCTGAAAGCTGAAAATAATGGGTTTGTGACTGTATGAAGCTCTCATTTCCAGCCCTGGTAGTTTCAGAAATACTGGATATTAAAACCTTCATGCTAGATGGGTTATTTCTTCTTCCTCCTCCTCTTCTTAGAGCTGCTCTTTGAACCACTATCTATTTTTTCCTATCTCCAGCAGCAAGTGCTGTCTGTCCATGGTGATAGCATTATAAAAGTAACCTCAGAAATGGAGGATATAAATCAGGTGTATTCTTTAGTGTGACCTTGTGTATTTTCAAGGAACACACACAAAATCCTATAGCAGCAGATATCTCTAGTGAGTTCTGTACCTCAAGAGTGTATTGTCTCTCTGTTTCCAACAACTGTCTCCCTTACTGTATGCTGGTCTTCTCTTCTTATATACACAGAGCTTGCCAAAATATCTCATATCTCCTATGTTTACAGTCAGATAGCTGGTCAGCCTACCTGGCTTCTCAGGCACTTCCACTTAGCCCATCCAGCATTACCAGGGCAATAGCTTCTATTGTTTCTAGCTGTCTCAGCATAAACATGTTAATTGATACTTCCACTCAGCCTAAAAAGGAGATTTTATAATTAAATCTGACATTGTCTATACATCAAAACTTATTTATGGCAGTTGCTAACACCGTGCAGGATAAAGACAGTGTTCTGCTACCATTAATATGCTCTGTCAGTAAGTATTGTCTGCGCTCCAATGTTAGCTTTAGCCTGAAAGCATATGTCCAATTCTCTATTCACTTTAGATAAGGGGGTATATGCATGTCTTGATAAATTAAATTCACTAAACCCGTAGCTCTGTCAAGACAGCTAGAGTTTAGCTGCAGTAGTCTCTCCTTTACAAACTCATATTGCTTATTACAACATCATCTTGTTTATAAGATTTGATCCTGTGCAACACAGCCTCAATTCTCATTGCAGTCATCAGGAATTGAGACCATTCAGCACCTTCCTTTGCAAGATGGTTAGATAAAACCTTTACTTGTTCACAAAAGGGAGAAATATCCCTATGTTCCCCTAGGCAGCCTGCCATGTGCCCATTTGTTTCTCCTCTATTTTTTCCAAAGCAAGTAAGCAGGATTCAGGAAAAGACAGAGATGTAGTTTTACTCTGCTAATCTCATCAGCCCTCTGCCTGATTTTAGAATATACACTTAGCAATTTGAGATGGGAAGGACCTACTGAATCATGCAATCATCCAGATGGCTTTCTTGCTAGTAAAAGCATATTCCTTGTTTCCCTCTCTGTTGAAGAGTATTCATTCTTCATTTTCAGAGTCTAAAACAGCAGAGCTGTTGTCTCCAGCTCTCCCACTCACCAAAAACTTAAAAAATGGATCACTAGTTCTTTGTCTGCTGTTTTACCTGCTAGTATCTTTGGAGATCTGTGATTTAAGGTTTCTATTCTAACCACTGAAGGCTGTTATAAGGAAATGTCACATAGGCATACTGTTAATGGATGCATCTTTCCTTCCTACGCCTCATGACATACCGTATTTACCCACATAAGGGGGTGGAGGGTGGGGCGGGGGTTGCTGCCTCTGTCCCAGCTCCCTACAGCCTCTGTCCCTTTCCCTCTCCCCATGCTGTTTACCTTGATTTTGCTCTGGTTTTGGCCCCATGCCAGCCTGGGGCATGAAGCATATACTTGCTCTGGCCCCAACCCAACCTGGCAGCAGCAGAGACATGGCATCTGCCTGTCCTCGGCCACCTCATTTTCAATTCCAAGATGAGGGGCTTTTTTCCCATGTTAAATAAGGAAAACACCTCACCTTGGAATTGAAAATATGGTAACAAGAACAAATTCTGGTGCAAAAGTTGACTTCTCTGTCTCAGGGCAGGGTCACTATCTATTAATTCGTTATACAAGTCACATCCTGCCACAATTTTATCTACAGATGTACCCATACATTTTTGATAGAAAGTTACCTGATGTGTAGCAAAATATGTTATGAAAATATAAATGGATACAGTAATAAAATACTCAGCACAAAATACTATCAGCATATGCAGAAATCCTGTAAGCCACAAAGAGTGAGGAAAAATTGGGGGTGGTGTTTTTATAGCTGTTTCTAGCACTCTTTTAACCAAGCTCATCTTCATGGCTTTCTGACAATTCTCAGTGGCAAAGTGATAATCATTAGGGTGTGCAAAGTGGGCCCTATTTGATTTGGATTTGGCCTGAATCAGGGACAGTTATCAACAGATTTGTTGATTCAGATCACTGTCCCTGATTCAATTCGGCCAAATCTGAATCTGAAGATTCGATGCTGATTTGGAGAATCAGCAATTCGGACACAGACACAGATTTAAATGTTTTTTTTATGTACCTTGAGGTACCAGCGTGGCTAGTGAATGCTGCGATGCTGGGTCCCACAGGAGTGCGGGGGTGGGAGGGCCCTCCATGTGTTGGGTGGTGAACCTGGAAGTGGACTGGAAGTACTTCCGGGCTACTTCTGGGTCCACCGGGGTGCGTGCTGGGGGGCCTCCCCATGCCTCCCCCTGCCTCGGCGATCTGCCATGGGGTGCCCTCCCCTAGGCCCAGGAGGCACCAGTTGCTGAGCTGGGGGAGCATGGGGGGTGGGAAGGACAGCATTGTCCCCAGTGGACCTGGAGGTGGACTGAAAGTGCTTCTGGTCCTCTTCCAGGTCTGCTGCCAAGTGCGCTGGGGAGCCCCCTGTGCTTCTGTGGGACACTCCATGCACTTCAGCATCACAGCATTCACAAGCCGTCTGCTACCTAGAGGTATGTAGAAAAAACATTTAAAGCTGTGTCTATGTCCAAATCTCTGAATCTTTCTGAATCTGTCCAAATCAATTTGGAGGGTTCTGACTGGTTTCGGAGAGATTTCGGAGAAAGACCTCTCCGGTTCTTTCCTTCTTACTTTAACTGGAAGCCTTAAAATGCTGAGTAAAATGATTCCTACTGTGGCAACAATCACACCTTTTGATCCTATCAGTAGGGTGCATGACTTTCACATCAGGGCTCAGAAACTCTGAGTCCTGATATGAAAATCCAAACATCCAAACATGCTTCTTTTTATCTATGCTTTATTTTGCCATAAAACAATCCAAGTAAATATTAGGTATCTTAAAAAGTAATCAAATTAACAAGCTCTTCATCAGTGGCATGATAAACATTATATATTAGGGAAGATACTCTGAATCTTCTCACTACAAATACTTTTGCAATCTTTTTGCCTTTCAATTTCAGAGTTTTTCAGTTAAAAAAAAAATCCCTTTCCAGAAGGAAGTGTATGTACATTTTTGCCATGCTATTTTTCTTCTGGAGGCAATAATGCTTACAGCATTTGTACTTGGAAACATTTCTCAGTGTTTTTAGAATGCACACTGAGAGCTGGATAAACTAATCCCAATTGTTCCTCAAAGTCGAAAGTGTAACTTCTGGATACAGTGTAATTTTCTGTAACATGGGAAAGAAGCCTCCTGTTTCATTTTCCATGATAAAATAAACTGTGGTATTTTGAAGTTAAAATCAGTTTACTTTTCCTCTGAACTTTAAAAATGATGAACTTCTTCTTATGTCAGTGCAGCTGAATCTCCATTTTTAGTGGCTTTCAGAACTGAAAATCTCTCACAGTTAAACATTCATTAACCTTTTTATCTTTCCTGTCTCAACATGGTGCACTGCTTGTCTGGAGCTGCCCTCTGCTGACAGTTTTCTTGAACTACATATTCCAGTTTCAGACAGTGGTGAAATGCAGGAAGTGATGTCTATAATTACAAACATAACTAAGGGACTGATTCAGCGAAGTGCTTACCACCACCTTCAACAACCAGTGCTGATGAGTACTGGTTCATGAGTACTGAAGATGATCAGCTCCCACCAAAACTGATCAGTGCACCTCACTGGCCTAGGTTTTAACTCAGAAAGTAAGAAAAGTGATCCTAAATCTAATTTTTTGCCTGGATTTACATAATTTCTCACCTCCTCAGACACAACAGATATGAAATACCTGTGCTGGAACTTGCCTTTTTTTTTAAGCATCTCAGCAGACAGGGGAAAACCTAAGTGATTAAGGCTTGGAGGAAATGCTATCTTGTACAGTTCTGAAAAAATATTCTGTTGTATGAATGTGCATATGATTTTGTGTCAGTCACATAGGAATAACTCAGGTTCTCTGGGAGGCATAGGTTTAGTAGTGTAACTGGGAGCGAACAAATAGCACACCAGCCCTCGGCGCAAAACTGGGCATCTTAGCCAGTCTCTGATATCTCATTGTTTAAATTAAACATGGACAAAATAATAGGAAACCCCAATCCTAAAGCCAATGTACTGTCCTACTTCTTTATCCTCTCCACATTACCCAAACCCATAACCTGTAAATCATCTTCACTCCTTTTTTATGACCTATTGGTCTAGTCTGTATACAAACCTAGGTTTGTATTCCTCCATGTTTCCAATATTTGTCAATTCACATGGCCAAAATTTTTAGGTAAAGTCTCATTACTTCTTGTCTTGATTACAATCTCCTTCTTTCTAGCTTCTTTGGATATCAATCCATGTGGCTTGTACTAGAAGCCCATATAGCTGCTGAGATCAGCTTTCTTACCTCTTGATCTGAGTTCTTTTCGAATCTACTTTCTCAAGCCCTTTTGGCTCATCTCCAGTCACTATGGCTGTTAGGTGGAAGGGGTATGGAGGAGATAGACTCCTCTGTTATTTCAAAAATGTTGACACTTCATATCAAAGATGGACATGTTACAAAATTCTGGGAACTAATTTAAAGAAAGGAATAAAGGAGGCTCTAAGAGTATTTGAGGTGTAACAACTTTTTTTTTTTATAAAAGAAGATAGGGCAAACTGTTAAAGACACATAGTGGAATTTCTAAGGCTATATTAATGTTTGTTTTGTAAAAGTTATTATGGTTAACAGCACAACAAAATATATATTCCATACCTCGCTTAATGTCTTACAAAGAGGAGAAAAGTCTTTAATATTTGGAAGAGAGAATCAATAATTTTACAGTTCTTTTCTTCTTTCACTATTACAATACCTGTTCATGTGACCAGGTCCGTTCTGAGCCATCCTTCACACAGACATCTAATCTCAGTTCAGTCCCTGTGGCCCCATGTTTACTGTCAACACAGAGATTGGCTGCCACGTTTCGAATCTGTAAAACCAAAAAACAATATTTCACATTACATTAAGATGCAGAATACAACTTCCTAGGACATAGGAGTCTGAAATTTGACTCAGTTATGGTTTAGTTAGAACACAGGGATAGGTACACACCTCTTACTTATTTATCTTTACTGACATATTTCTTTGCAATACTGTTTCTTGCAGAAGACCTTGAAACACTGCATTAAGAAATCCAGGTTAGGTGTTTTGTGGAATCGTGCTGGGAATAGAGACTGGACATTTGGGGGAGGGGAGAGTCATCAAAGTTTACTTTTACTCTTTTGCAATCCAAATAAGCCAGCTCAAGCTCATTCAAAGGAAAAACCATCTGTTCCTATCTCTGAGACTCTTATAGTTTTCTGAAGCTCAGATGCAAACAGTTCTTATTTTGACAATAACAGCATGCACTGTCCTGGAGTTTATTGCATCAGATTAATTTCATGTGTAGATGCACCCACATTGTTGCAGATATGATCACATACTAATATTTAATATACAAAGTCTTAAGAAACACTTATATTTGCACTAAGTGTGTGGAGCATATTCTGTCCATATGGATTCTGAGCCACTGAACTTATCCATAAAGGGAAAATAGCACTTTTGAGATTGAAGGTAATTTACTGCTGAGTAATAATTAGTCCTGCATTTTCAATCAGACCATATACATGGCATTGATGCTGTTCTTGGAAAACAGGAATAAAAGAGAGTCATGTGGAAAGTGCTACTGATAACAAGAAAAGGTGCCAGATTTGAGTTCTTAAACTGTACTATTTAAAAATATCAAACAACTCTGCATTGTGGAACTCAAGATTAAAGAAAATAAACAAAGTATCCCCTTTAGAGCTGTATACAGAAATCTAGCACATGGACAGACATACAGATTATACATCTGCAATACATTTCAAGTACATATAGTCTGTAACTTTGCTTTACCTAGGCATTGTAGTCTGGAAAAAAGAGCACAGAATTGAAAGACGGGAACTTCTGAATTCTAATCTTGGCTCTGGCCAATGACTTACTTAGCGACTGTGACTTGCAAATTTACTTTATCTACCAGCTTATCCCATATATTATTAGTTTCCCATATAAAATAGAGAAACTAATAATAATTACCTACCTACTGTGTAGTGCTGCTGTAATGGTAAGTTAGTTACAAGTTGCTTGTACACTATGTGTAACTGTTATTATTTTAGTTGCCAAGAGGCCTGTAAGGAACTGGTTGTCTAGCATTAATGTAATGTATGACCTCACTGGAAATCTGCGCTGAAGTTGTGAATATTACTGATGACATCCCAGGCAGGCAGGAGCTAAACAGAATTTAACCCTCAAAGAAGTGTGAGGAAGTCTCAAGCTATTTTCAAAGGCAGCACCTGGTATAGATACAGGACAGAGGTCTATAAAACATGGAAGGATAATTCAGACCAGTGCAAGTCATTTGAAGGTTTTAAAGAAGGAAATACACCTTCCCTTTAGGCCTTCTGGGATTTTGATTCAGAGGAAAAATTGGAAAAGGATTTAAATAGAACAAGGCAATCCTGGATGATCACTCTCTTTTGTAGAGAAAGAAGATATAAGGGGGCAACTCAGCTGAGATCACTTGTTATCTATAGACTATGACACCCAATTAGCGTCTATGTCTGGCTTCATTTTGTGGAAAGAGGTGGTTATGGAGACAGAAATATTATTGTATAAACAATAGAGTTTACATAAATATACATTATTTTACAGAGATTATATAAATAAGTAACTGAGATTGGGAGATGTAAAGTACATATCAAGATGCCGTGAAAATCACTGCAGAGAATTAAATCCAGTATTTCAGAGGTTCTGAGCATTCCTGCTCTCACCGAAATGGAAACGTGTGTGTTAAAAATGTATTTAAAACAGTGCTCAAAATCCCTCTGCTGATTATTGAAGTGGAGTCAACTTCTCCACATTTGCAGAGTGTTATCTGTACATGAATATTCCCTGGGGGGAAATGGCTTGCCTACCAGCTTGAATATTTGGCTTAATAATCTTAGGCCTCAACCCTTCCATGGGCTGGGTGGGAATGAATCGTAAGTATGCAGCACTTTGTTATGTCAGTGTAAAAGTCAACCAGATTGTCAACACCTCTGTCTTTATTTTTATATTTTCAGTCAGAAATGTGAAATAGCAAAATTGGGTAGATAGATTTTAAGTGCAGATTTTCAAAATTTAAGTTAAAAATAAGTCTCAAATACCATTTCCACTATGCTGTCAATAAGGCCTCATTCACACAGTTCCAAGATGGTTAATTATACTTTGTACAAATAAAGAACACCCAAACTATTCTAAAGCTATAAGCTCTTTTAGTAACTGTCTCCTCGTCAAGTTATATACTCAAAAGGTACAAGCCAACTGAGACAGAGAGGCTAAAATTAGTTTTAACATTAAGATTAATAAAGTGCCATGTAGAAATACCATGGGATCTTTAACAAATGCAGTCCTGGGTCAGCTACTGCAACAGGAACAGTCACTTTAGCATGATGCTCTGCCCATGCAAGATATACCCTAAAATAAATATTTATTTCAAGAAAAGGTGGAAACTGTTCTCCTGAAGACCTTGTAGCCTTCATAGGGCTTTCGTAGTTTCATTTAGTATGGCAATTGCCCTGTGCTGTTCTCCCTCATTTCAGGAGCAAGATTACTTATCAGTTTTCTGGAAAAGGCTTTTATTTAAGGATACTGTTTACTTGCATCCTTCATGATTTAGTTCTTCCCTGTCTTCTTTATTTCCCTTTTCTCTGCTTCTCTCTCTCTATTTCTTAATTTTTTTCTCCCCGTTTATTGCTTTCTTGGCTACCTGCTTTGCCCTGTCCCAACCATTTCTCAACCTTTCTTTTCTTTCTGGCCTCTCTAGTTACAGAGCAGTTTTTGTTGTTGTAATAAAGGCATCTCAATCAAATCTGTACTTCTGCTTTGTGATGTCTCTCTTCTGCCTTGGCTGTAATTAGAAACTGAACAGAGCAGTTCAAACTGCTGTCAGAACCACAGGGAATGTTCTATGGAGCATCAGCACCATGCCGTTAGTAAATCTGACATGATTCGCACATATATCAGGAAAGGAGAGCAGAAGTGCTTTGGAAACTGTGATTTTTTTTCTCATTAAGGAATAAACATGCCTTTGAATCCCTCATCTAGCTATACATTTCTAAACTATTGGGTTTCAATTAAAATTACAAAAGCACTGGCAAGTCCAGATTTTTCATTTCGGTCAGCTAAAAGTGACCTCCTTTTATGTGCACACAATTTTTGAACCACCTCATCAATCCAGTTTGTGTATATGTAGAGGGTGGGGAGAGGCAAAAACAAAGCCCATTTGTTTCATCCCAAATCCTAACACCTGTATACAGAGGTGAATGCATGGGTGACTGGTGCCTCCTGAGTCAGGCGGGGGCACGTGCCCCCCTAGTGGCCAGTCAGATGAGAAATAAGGTGATTTTCTCACCGACTGGGGCAGGGGTGGGGGACAGTGTCCCACTGCCAATCTTGCCGACTGGGGGAGGGAGGGTGCTATCTCACCGACTTGTAAGTGCGAGCGGGGCATCCTGGAAGTGCCAGCAGCACTCCCAGAAGTGCCAGTGGTGCTTTTCCTGGCATCTCCACTCCCTGGCCAGTGCTCCCAAGGGGGGCACCGGTGCTCCCACCTGCCCCCCCACCTGTCACCTAAGTGGGGAGCGCTGGCTGTCAGGGGGTGTACCAGTGCTGTCAGGGAGTGTGTGTGCACCCCCTACACATTGCCACTGGGTGCATATGCTTAAAAAGGGCTTGCACAGATAAAAATGTGCACACAAATGCAGGCTTGGTTAAGGTCTATTTATAAATCTGCTCCTTACGTATTCTGTTTAAGAATTTAATGTAGTATGAAAAATAGTGTCATCTGTAAAACGCTGATAGTTTTTTCCCTAGTGTAGACAAAGGCTTAGCAAGAATTTCATTTAGCAGGGGAATTGACACTCTGAGATTTTGAGGTTATTTAATACATAAAGATATTCATGGAAAAAGGGACATGACCTAAAATGTCCCTTCTTAAATGAAAGGACTTAAGAAGTTTGAGCTGCTTAGGACCTTAGAGATGAGGTTAGAGAAATATGATCGCCTATTAGTCTTTTGCACATTTCATAACTGAATAGATTAATAGTCCATTGAATTTTTAAAAAAGCACTCTAACACCCATAATTAATAAACAAATATGTTTCTTGGGCATCTAAAGAAAATGGAGGAATTGTAAATGTAGGATATTTTTTGCAGAAAGTGTCAAAAACTGCCAGCTTTGCTACGAATCACACCTCCTGCTTTTGTTTTATTAATCAGATCCTATTAGAATATTCAGCTTTATAATGCTGAGTTTTCAATGTTTAATAAAAGCACTTCTCTAGTTCTCTAAACCAATGGGAGAAGTTATCATTATACTTTTCATCTAATCTCTTGAGTATCAATATTTAAGCCTCTACTTCGTAGTGGAAGCTGATTTTTGGGACATGAAACACTGGTGGAAGCCCACCATTTTTTCCAAGTCAGCCACTGTCTTTGTCAGGGTTCTAAATGATTGGGTTTTTTTTATATTTTATCTCCTTTCCCATGCTGAAGATGATTAAATGAGAACTTTTTCTTTTATGTTGCTTTGACCATTAGAAAATCTGTTGTTTTTTTTTGTTAATGCATATGATAGTACCTGGGTGGGAAATGAGTAGAGGAGGCATAGTATATAAGTTGGCACAAGTTTTTAGTTTTACATGTTGAAACCAAAACATTCTGGTCTGAAAAAATGCAATTTTTAATACATACATTATTTAAAAAATAGCAAAATAAATAAATAAATTGGTTGTAAAATTTTGTATCCTTCTCCATGTCTCTCTCTATCCGCTGTCTTCAAGGTAATATTTTTTAAAATCAAATTAACGAATGTTGTAGATAATCACTTGTTAGAATATAATTTGCTATTTTTCTGGTTCTGAGATGGCAAAA